CATATATCTATTCATTATTCCCAGGTTTGCCTTCTATCAGTATCAAAGGTGCGATGACAAATTAATTGAATTATAGTAGCAATGGAAGGGGAACCTGCTTTTAAACATTGCAGCAATGGAAAGATATATTGGTGAAGAAATTAAACAAGACAAAATCTGGGTGAAAAAATAGGTAGTATGGGTTGTTGGCAGTCTCTTCAAACAGGCTCCCATATGCCATTTTCAACCCTCTAAAAGTACTAAATTTCAATTTCTTCGGGGGCTTCGCCCCCTGAACCCCCACCGGGACTCTGTCCCTGGACCCTGTTGGGGGCCTCTGCGGCCCCCAGACCCCCAGCAGAATTTTCCTTACTTTTCAGCTTCAGCTGGTGGAAGCGCTGATTTGGGCTTCTCTTTAAGTGAAGTTTAAAGTTAAACAGTTAATTAAACCCTTACATGAACCGTGTAGAGCTGTTTTTGTACAACGTTTCTCTGCTCCAAAAAGAATGGGTTGACCATTTTCTGTTGTCCACACCCGAGGACCGTGCAACGTAACACCGGTACTGTAAGCCTGGTGAGATAAAGAAAATACATTTTTGTGTAGGTGCCAAACTTTGAACGGCAGTATCTCTCGATGACTGTTGGGTGGAATTTGCTGAAGTGTTGCGTAGCATTTACATGTATTACTGACTGAAAGATTTTGTTAGCGTAGTACTTAATACATTATATGAATCTATTTACAAATAATTTCCTACTAAGGCCATTTAAGAGCACAAGTAGCCTATATATTCTAGATAAAGATTACATTGAGATTTACCACACTAACAAAAATATATCCACTTTCAAAATTAGCCACTTACGGTAGGCCTTTTTGTGGACAGACTACACGTACTAGAGTCGGAAATGTTGGAAATCCGGATTACTGAATTTAGAGACAGCTACCCCTTTTCTTTTGTTGAGAATTTAACCGGATTTATTTTTTATTCCGATTTCCCTCGAAGTCCAGCACTGCTACACATTATACTGTATTAATTATTATTACCCTGTTTTGTTTGTTGACGATCCGGGGGGTGGGATATTGCCTTCGGTTTTTGGGGGTTTTTTGGTGGTGTTTTTTGTTTTGTTTTTCCATGATTGGCTCTCCATTGTTTGTTATCGGCGTAGTTGTTTTTTTTGTTTTTTTTTAAGATTACAACGTTTGTCGGTCAGATAAGGAGGGGGTGCGTGAGGGTGAGGCCGGGGTTAATAATCTAGGCGCAGATGTTATCTGTGGTTCTGACCTGTTGTGGTTTCTCTCTCTCTCTCTCTCTCTCTCTCTCTCTCTCT